AGTCATATTAGTCTTCATTAACGGGGTAATTAATCAACACATTTTCGGACAGGGGCTAACACATATATTTATATATGAATCACGGAGTTATAACGAGGGACTAGCTAGATAATTTTGCGCAAGAATTGGGAATTAGTTGGTTAATTATGTAAAACATAAGGACCTAAATAATAAATTTCCCTTTTATTTTTCCATTACACCCTATTTTATAATCTATTAATTCTATTTTTTAGTTAAATGATTTGAGAATTCTAAAATTAGTGGTGAACATTGACTATAATTTTAATTTAATTAATTTTTTTTAAATATTAAATTTAAATCAATATTATTTTTTAAAAACAAATTATAAAGTATTTTTATAGACACCTATAAATTTATTAATGTTCAAAAAATATAATTTATAGAATATTATATATAGAAAATTCGGTAAAATCGTATCGAATCCGAGATAGAACCTCCGGTTTTCAAATGAACCCCTGTTTACTGGTTCGGTTCTCGAGAACACTGCTCTGATTGACAACCAAGTAACAACTATCAAGTTTCCTATTACAAATCTTTTTCTCTTTCTCTCTAGCCTTTTAAACCGTAAGTTTTTGTTTTAGGGTCTGCCGCTAATTTATTAATAGTAAGCCTAACTTTCTACTTTTTTCTTTTCACTTTACCTCTTTTGCTTTTTAATCTTTAATTCACTCTAATAAACTCATATTTTGTCTTTCTTTTTTTTTTTTTTAGTTTTTTATTATATTTTGTCTCTTGTTTGGAGTTCTTTTTTGTTTTTTTTATGAGGGTTTTATTATTACTAAGTTAATAATATGAAATATGATATTTGACTTTACTTAATTAGAGATTTTAGATCTTTAGATCTTGATTTGCAGGTGTGGAAGGATCTTCGATCAAGTAAGAGTCTGACTAGTGGCGACTTGTTCCTCCATTTTAGTGCTATTGATATATAGTAAGCGTAAACACATTTGTGTTCGTCATAATGTTATAAATTCCTGAAAAAAAACAATCAAGGTATGAAATCCCTTAGAAGAGTTATTATTTTCATTGTCCCAAAATCAATTTTAATGAATTAGTTACTGATAATGAAAATTTTAATAATCTTTGTCAATAAATCAAAACTCCAAGCGGAAGAATCGAATAATTAATCATATTTTTTTTAATTTTAGTTTTTTCATTAATTTGACAGGATAATAATTCTTTTATTGTTAAGATCATACGAGTTCTATATATGCTATATGAGTAATTTGTAATTCTTAATATTATTAAATTGAATTATGTTTTGTTTTAAAAAAAAGTTTCCCTATTGCAAGTTTAGCGTAATGGTTTAAAAATTGAATATATATATTATATATATATATTATTTATATATATATATACTATATATAGTATATATTATTATATATATATATATTATTTAAAGACAAGATTGAAAGCTCTGGGTTTTTATGTCTTGTATATTTAAAAACAATTTTGAATAATGAGGGTTCAATTATTAAATCACTCACTTATATTTTTTATCAAAAAAAAAAAAAAAAAAAAAAAAAAAAAAAAAAAAAAAAATTGTAACACCCGCTAGTTTTACCTTGACCCATTTAACACTTTAATCATGTTCGACAACAGCTATGAACTAACTTTTAACTTTTGACCATATGAAATTTTATCTTTATTAATTGCAGTGTTGGATGACATAGCTTATAAAACATCAAACGCTATAAATATTCATTTTTAATTAAATTAGCTTTTAATTAATATTTTTTGACAATGAATATTCTTTTTTTTTTTCCCTCTGAATTCAATTGATTAAACAACTAAGGTCCTTTTTATCATTTTAAGCTAAACAGCTAATTAAACAGTTCTTTTATTAAATATTTATAATTTAAACCGTTATATAAATATCTACCAGCTAGTATAACAGGTAACAACTACTAAAACTATTAATACTGCTGAATATACTCAAAATTACACTTATTGACACTTTAAATTGATTGTTGAACACTTCAACTTATAAAATTATACAATTAAACATTTATTAGATAGTTAAAAACATGTAAAATTATTATTTCAAAAGTTATATTAACCATATATCATCGATATTTTGCATATAAAACCTAAATTTTAAAAATTATTATTGACTAAGAAAATGTAAAATTATTAGAAAAAGTGAAATTTAATATGCTAAAACGCTGATTATAAAATCTATGGTACCATAAAAAAAATTTTAAATTAAGGGATTAAATTATATATTGGACTATCTAAAAAATTAAAATATATTATCGACCTATGCAATTCCCTGAAAGTTTACCACACATTTAATTTAAGAAATATCAACCGGTTAAACTGAGTATGAATAAAAATTATTATATTTCCGTTTGGTCTACTCTAGCCGTGAAAGGCCGGACGGTCAGCCATCAGCGGTTGGCCTTTCACCAATCACCACTCAACCAAAGCGGAAAGCAACCTCCAACTTTTCTTGATTTACCATTTTACCAACGTGTACTTATTTAAAGACCCATCAACTTTGACTAAAACAAAAACTATTAACACTTGCCTAATCAATAATGTCCACTTCAAATTTTGCAAAATTATATTTATCTGAAGAAAACTTGTTCTTGTACCAATTAAAACTCTGCATCTTTTCTTTTTGAAGTAGTAAATTCTGCAGTTCAGTGATATAACAATAAAAAAGGGGGGAAAAATAAAGAAAACCCTAAATTCAATTATCTTCAATTTTCAGAGCAAAAATTGGAAAAGAACTTGATTGAGGATTCTCCCACTATGATAACATACAAAAATCATATGTTTGGTCCACATGATATGTGGACTTTTTAGTGTTAAAAAAAAAAAAAAAAAAAAAAAAAAAAAAAAAAAAAAAAAAAAAAAAAAACATAACGTTTGTTCTTCCCTCGTGGAATCAAAAAAAAAAAAAAAAAAAAAAAAAAAACATAACGTTTGTCTTCCCTCGTGAATCAACATCCTGTGTTTAATCATATTCACGTGTAGACTCATAATTTCCGCATGACGTGCGACAGCCCTCCAATTTCACGATTTGTTCTGTTTAATATTCTATAGGGGCAATGGCGCAATGCTCCTTCGACTTGCAGCATTTTCTTAAGGCACTCTTAATTATTTGTTGTATTTGTTTTCTTAATTTATATTTCTGACTTCGCCTCTGTCTTTCTGACAGTAATCTGTTCACTTGCATTTGCAATGTCTTGTCTGAAATTTAACTCCAACACAAAATCAGATACTACTGGAGTAATATTGTCTTTAAATTAATTAACCTCATTGAGGGTTGAACTTTCTTTTTTTCCAATTTTCATTCCTGCTCTTTTGTTTCTCACAAGTCGTTTAATGGAAACGGGTTTACAACGAAGGTATTGAGAGCAACTGTTGTACTGGTTTTTTTTAGCTCCTTTTGTTTTTTTTTAAATAATTCAGAGAAAAATATTTTTCACAATTTTTCATTATTTGGAACAGTTTAAAAAATAAGTTAACAAAAAATATTATTTTGATTAAAAGAAACACCGAGTCATTTTTAAGGAAAATAGTTTTCCACTTTCAAGAGAGGAAAAAATTTTTTGGATTTTAACAAAATTATTATAACCGTATAAGTGCATATTTTTAGTTTATTAATTATTGGTAATCACTACCACCAATTATCTTCGGCCACCACCACAATCGGTTATTGGCGATTTTTATAATTTATCATTTTTTTTTAATTTTTTCTCATATTTAACAATAAAAATTTTAAAATATAAAATATTATTTTTATGGTCTTATAAGGTAAAGATTTTAACAGAAAATAAGTGGTAAGTTATTTTCTGAAAGCAAATAGTGCCTTAGTATATAATTAAGGACTCAAAATCGAAACTTTTTTACTCTTCATGCTGATTAGAAAACCAACCAGACAATCTAATTATAATTAATTTAAATTTTCTCTATTGAATTTTTACCTTTTTACTCCTATTAAATTATTAATGTTCTTTTTAGTATCGGAAAGGGAATTCGAACTTAGAACTATTGTCAAGTCATATATGCACTTACTACTAAGTTATAATTTAGTGAGCAAATTATTATCAATGAAGTACTTCCATTGATAAAATATTTCTTAATCGGTCCTTGGCTCCAAAGAGTGCAATTATTATTATTCACCACAACTTCTTCAATCCAGTTTTTCAACACATCAACAACGGCTGCAATATTAATTTTCAACATCTTTCTGACTTAACAGCCCCACCATTTATGCTTTCATACCAAACATCCCACATTAATGTTACTTCTGACTTTCAACTCTAACTCATCCATTATGAAATCAAATAAATAAATAAATATCCAATCTTTCAACTATAACAACAAAAATAATTATAATGATATTATTTTTTTGCATTAAATTACGTAAAACAGCACCCTTTTTTCTTTGATAATATAAAATTTGCTTCTCATCAAACAAACAATATATAAATCAGATATGAATTTTTGTAAGTACAATTTTCTTTTTCACTCATGTATACTTGAATTGAAACAAAAAAAAAAAAAAAAAAAAAAAAAAAAAAAAAAAAAAAAAAAAAAACCTCAGTATTACTTGAATTGGAAACAAAAAAAAAAAAAAAAAAAAAAAAAAAAAAAAGAAAGAAAAAAAGAAAGTTTCAGGGCTGCATTTAATAATAATATCTAAGAGAGAATAAAACAGGGAATAATCCGAAGAGAGTTGAGAGAGCAAAGATTAAGACCCCATAAAGGTCACACACAGAATGTCTCTAATGTACTTTCCAGTTTCCGCAATTATTCTTCTTCCTCCTCTCTTCATTCCAAAATTCCTCGTACCTTTTCTTTCCTTCCTCTTCTCTTTTCCTTCCCTTAAATTCCTTTCTTGCCCTTCAAATTGAACTTATCAAAATATTCCCAAACTATTCTTTCCCATTCATGTAACATTTCCATCCATGTCCTCCACTTGACAGGCTCACTTCCCTCACGTGCATAAAAAAAAAAAAAAAAAAAAAAAAAAAAAAAAAAAAGAAAGAAAAAAGAAAGTTTTCAGGCTGCATTTTTTATCTAAATAAAACAAATAATCCAAGAGAGGCAAAGATTAAGACCCCAAAAGTCACACACAGAATGTCTAATGTACTTTCAGTCCGCAATTTTCTTTCTTTCCTCCCTCTCTTCATTTCCAAAAATTCCTCGTACCTTTTCTTTCCTTCCTCTTCCTTTCTTCCCTTAATTCCTTTCTTGCCCTCAAATGAACTATTCAAAATTCCCAAACTATCTTTCCCATTCATGAACATTCCATCCATGTCCTCCACTTGCAGGCTCACTTCCCTCACGTGCATTCCTCCTCTCTCACTCCCTCCTCCGCACGTCACCAGAATTCCACACTGCACAAACTCCGATGCTGATCCTTTCTCGCCCACCAAAATCGAAGCAAACCGCGCATGCACCTCACCGGTCAACCAATGTCTCTGCACCGACACTGGCTTATGACTTGAAAGATTCATAGCTCGCCGTCCGGCTGAGTCGATCAAAATCCAACTTAAAGTGAACTCCTCGGCCAACTTCCGGCGATCGTCTTCTGTTTCCGGATGTGGTATCTGAGTTGGACACGTGTCCTTTGGGTCAAGCATGTCGATCCTAAACGGCGAGCACCGGAACCATCCGGACTCCGTCTTTGTCTCCACAACTCTACTGAAAATAAGCTCGTGACGGTAATAAATATCAACGGCGGAGATAAGTTCTGATGGACGGTCACGGCTGACCAGTGAAGTGGCGGGATTCTCGTTAACGGTCAGGAGAGGGAAGGAAGCGGAGAAGAAGGAGCGAGGACCATTGGGGAAAGAAGAAATTACTTGGCGCAGACGTGGCATGTCAGTAGAAGGCCACGTGGAGAGACAAATATTAGTCCATAAATCCTCTTGGGAAGCGAGCGAATGGAGCTCCGTGGTGGCGCAAGCGGTGGAGGCAAGGGTGGGGCCATCTAGACGTGTGAGGATATGCGATTGGAGAATATCTGGATGAATGTCGGCGATTGAGGAGGAAACGGTGGTTGTTTCGGCGGTGGAAGAAAACAGTGGCGACGGTGGTTCAAAGGAGGAAGCCATTTTTAGTAGCTTTTTTCAAAGGTTCTTGTCCAAAGAGAAAAATATCAAAATAAAGGTTTGATTGGGTGGGAGAGAGATTGAGGAGCGAAGCTTGTGCTGTAGAGTTTATATAGGAAACTTTTAAGGAGGGAGAGTTTTTTTTTTTATTATTTTTTGTGATTAAATGACCAAAATAACCTTAGTTTTGAATTGAAATAAGAAAAAAGAAAACAAATAATCATTCTCTTTCGGTTTATTGTCAAAGAATTTTAGTAATAGACTGCAGGCAGGCCTTCTTTTTGCTTCGTTGCTTCCTTTCCGCATGAGAACAAAGAACACCCTGACATATATATATAAAAGCGGGTTTAACTGTTGGTTAAAGTTACAAATTAGACGTTGATTGATTGGTCTTTTCACTTGTACTGGATTGAGTGTTGAATAAAGAGAAAAACTATTTCTATTGACTATTATATAACACATAATATTCTTTCTGAATTTATTAGATTATTAGGTGGGACATCCATTCTATTATATAATTACTTCAACATAAGTTTCTTGCACCTTACTAACAAAGAAAAAAAATCCTTGTACGGTGAAAAAGTAATTACAGATTTTCCATTTAAAAAAAAAAATAATCGCATAAAATATATGATGAGATGAAGTTACCCACCGGAAGGGTTATTATAAAATATTGTTGCTATATATAGACCCACTTTCTTAAATTTGTATTTTTAATTAATTATTAACTCCTTTTATTTGACCAATATATATCTCCAAAAAAAAAAAAAAATTCGTAGCAACTATTTATTACTAAACCCCAAAAATTATTTGATAAAAATATATAACAATTGTACTAGTGTTGTGATGCAAGATTGTTATTTTATCCGTCCTTGTTTGTCCGACATTATATATGTTTTTACTTTTTTTTATATTTTTTTGTAATATAATATTTATGATCCGCCCAAATCAATAATTTAACAAACATGAAAACATCATCAATTATGCATTTATACGTTAAATTAATATAAATTAAATAAAGAATTTAAATGGTTTGCTTCATTCTATTGGCCTTTCTTATTGACCCATGTTTTGTTTGTATGTGATAAAGAACTATACACGACTGATCTCGTACTCGTTTCGCTTGTATTAAAATTGGCTTCTGAAAGTTGAAACTTGAGATAATAATATATATGTTCATAGCATGGTAAATAGCATAAGAGAAACACATTCATTGTGTTTAACCTTGTTAAACTGCTTACACTTTTTATTTAAAATTTATAATTTTTACTATATATATAATATCTGATAGAAGTGTGGATGATCACGATGAGGTATTAATTGTATAATTTTTAGTTTGAATGGAAATTTTTATATTTTTTGAATGGAAACTGCCTCTTTTAGCTAGAGATGATAATGAGTATGGTTCGAGTCGGATAGTTCCATACCAAATCCTATACCATCTTTAATCTTTATACATTACCTGATAGGGTATCGGGTTATATGCATAATAGGTACTCATCATCCAAGATTACCATGGGTATCTATTACCTATGGATATTCATTTATTGGATTATATTAAATTAAAAAAATTATCCAAATGATTTATGTAATAAATAAAAAATATGAAAATAAATTAATACATAATAAATGTCGAATCATGATATATTAAAATTTTAATTACAAAATTGTTCTTCTTATTATAACACTTTATTCAAGTGTAATAGTAATAGACTTTATTAAGTGTAATTATAACAAAATTCAATTAATAAAATAACTAAAAAACTCATATACCAAAATTACTAGACTTAAAAATATTATTATCAGAATACTCCAAATCATTATCATCATCATTATTTTTCTTTATTATTTGTAAAATTGAAATTTAAATCAAATATTAAAATTGAATTTTAAGTTTCAAAATCTAAAATTTTAAAAATTTCACCGATTCAAATTAATAAATGAAAAATTTAGAGTCAGGTCATTTTGGATCACACTACATTACAATAAAGATAAAGTTGCAACTTATATAAATAATTTACTACAAATACCCCAGTTATTGAAATTTTCATACTATAAATTTAAAAACATAATAAAATTTTAAATATATCGGGATTTGTATTTCAAGTATGGATTCAGGTTTATAATAGCAATACCGGTATCCAAAATAAAACTTTCTGGTGTTACCCAAACCCTATCTATATCCTGTCAAAACTCTGAAATTCGAGTTTTATTGGGTTTGGTTCAAGTTGATTTTGCATCCCTACTTATGGCCAATTGAAACTCTGAGAAAAAGAGAAATAAAAATAAAATCAGTTAATTTCAATTATTAATTCATTGTTAATCTGTTAATCATTATTCCCTCATTTCCACTTTAATAGTAACAAACGAATATTTTATTTAGGAGTTTGAGAGTATAATAATAAATTATTTTTCAGTTTTACCCATATTTATTTAGTATAATTTATTTTTAAGTTTGCATTTATTTATTCAATCATTTATTAGTATTAAATTAAAGATAATATAGTCAATTTACTCAATCATTTATTATAATTTAGATAAATTTAATAATTTTCTCAATAGATATAAAATTTTAAATGTGAAAAGTATTATAAATCTGATGCAATAATTAATAAGGTCAAGGATGCATAATGACGTGCCATTATCACTGATCAAAATCAACATTTGTTGATGCGTGCGTGGAACTTGAGATTATGACTTTTTGTCTACTAAAATGGATGTTTATGGGCAGAGGCTAGCTAGTGGCTTCATCTTCCCATTTTATGCATTTCAATTTGTTAGTCTATATATATTACAAAAGATGACGACTTGAGGCTTATCTCTCTAATTTTATACTCAAAAAGTTGCTCAAATTAGAGTCCGTGAAACTTTAATATGAAAGAGATGACCATTGACTGTAACAAATGGAGATGGAGGTGGTATCAGGTCAGCTCTGTCACTTATAAAGTCAAATCATACAGTGATTTTTGGATTAAAATTTGCCAATTTCAAATCACATTTAGGATATCTCAAGTGGTAAATTATTTTATTTTTTTAGAAAAATAATTCTTGAAATAAGTTTTCATATAATTTTTTTAAAAAAAAATTAATCACCAAATTCAAGTCAGAGTTACCGAATTGATTCAATTTTGCCACCTTTGATAATGACAGTTTACAGATCTTTTTTCTTTTCTTATTTAACTAACAGTATATTATAGGTGTTTTAAGTATTTAATATTTTAATGCATAAAAACATAAAAAATAAAATAAAATTGATTCCCTAATTTACTTAAAATAAATAAATAAATATATCAAAATTATTTTTTGGATCGGAATATCTGTCACTCCCCGTCCCATATATATAGTTCTAGTTTGACTTTCACAAAGATCGAAAAAAACTAGTTAATATAATTAAACTATATTTTTATTTAATTTTTTAAAAATTACCCTTTATAATATTAAATGATGTATGTATAATTGAGAACATAGATGTACATTAAATATGGATATATTAAAAAATTACATAATAAATTATTTTTTAAAAAAGGAAATAAAACTACATTTTGAGACTTACGAAGAAAAAGAAAGTTAGCCTATATATATGGGAAGAAGAGAATATTATTTTTCTTTTGATTTCTTTGAAGATTGGGATACCAATGGGTATCTTTATAATACATGAAGAGATAAAGTAAATGAATTTGCTTTCAATTACAATGGATATTTATAAATAATCATGACTGTTTTTTCAAAAAAAAAAAAAAAAAATCATAATTGTGATTGTTGTTAACAAATTTCAAGTTTTAGATTTATTTGTAAATGAATTTGCTTTTCATTTTTTTTATTTGATTCATTTTGTTGAGTTAGACTACAAATGATAATTTTTCATTATTTATAAATTTTCATATCTTAAAATAAGTGGTACGTCTTTAATCAAAATGAGAAATTAAACTTAATATATTATGTGAAAACTGGCCGCCACTAAGTGTTAAAAAAATAAAGTCTTGTTACTCTAAAATTAAAAAAATGAACCGAACTAATTAACCAAATAATTGAACTAGATCAATTTAATACAACGTTTTGATTTTAATTGATTGTGCTCATTTTTAATTAAGAGACAAATAAATTTTCATTGGATTAATGGTCTCTCAACTCTTCTATTTATTCATAAATAGGTAACAAATTAACAAGTCATAAATCAACTATTAATAAACCAAATTTCAATTTTCACATGTCCTTTAGTTAGTTTTGTTATGTATGTGTTTTAAATAAAATCTAAATCACAAGTGTGGACTTAATTATTTTGGTGGTTTATTTGTGGCAATAGGATTTCAATTCACAATGAGATTATTATTATTATTTTTTTTAAAATTTTAGTGATGTTGATTTTTTGTTTGGAGAAAATAATAGTTATTTTATAGAATAATTTTAATTTTAGATTAAATTCATATTTTTTTCTGCAAGATAATTATTCTTTGAAATTGATAGTTTGACTCATTTTATAGTCACAATCAGTGAACAACCACCTTCTTCCTACCTATTATCTTTAAATCTTCTATCAATGTCACGAGAGGTTGCTAGTCATGTAGGCATCAATATAATTTAGAAGAATTATTAAAGGTTGTTAGTGTCTCTAACCCATTAGACTGGGCTTAATCTTACTCTTACTGCGTCTGGTGGTCAAACCCTTAAGAAGAGAGAAGCACTTTCAGTTGAGATTTTCTTTCAACATATTAGAATTATTAGTTTTAATTCCAAATAAGAATGGATTTAGAATCAAATTACTCTTAAGCAACCCCTAAGACAATTTTAAGACCCTCAGTCTTACTTCAGAAATTACACATTTTTTTCAACTTTTTTTTAAAATTTTTTTAATGTGCAACATCAATAAAACATAATGATAAAAAAAAATTATTAATATATCCTATACGATGGTTTTACGCTAGTTAGTCTTTATTTTTGTCAAAATACATAATTACATCCCTAAATTTAGATTTTTATCACATGATTCAGTCATTCTATTCATTTTTTAGGTATTTAGCGGTGAGTCAAATTCTAAAAAGGCAATCGATGAGTGAGATAATTTTTTAAATGTCAAAATTAACCTTATTCACACATGTAAAGTGTGAGAAGCCCTAAATATCAGATTGAAGAATCTGAATTCCTAAGGC